GCGTCGTCACCATCCTCCTCCAGACCGCCGCCTCGACACTGCGATCTGTGACACAAGCATTACAGACGGTCGGTTAAACATACGCACAATATATGGCTCATTCAAAGTATTTGGTTGTACTCTGCACAGATAAGATAAGGGCCTTACGTGAAAAACTGTTGCTGCATGCGGAGCCTGTTCTTCTTGTAGTAGAGGAAGCCGAAGGCGCACACGTTCACGAGGAGGAAGGAGATGCCCACCACGACGACCACGGACAAGGCGAGAGTTGACGGTGCCACCTTGGGCTCGTCTTCTCCCAGGTCGTCGTCGAGCTCCCTGCCGAGGCCGCCGCCGAGGCCGCCGCCGAGGCCGCCGCCCAGCCCCCCGACCGTCACGTCCATGTCGGTGCGCCTGCCGCCCAGGGCGCCGAGCGGCAGCGGGGTGTCGCCCTGGCCGTTCACGAGTGTGCCGTACACTTGCTGGCAGTAAGATAATCTTTTGGGGTATCTTTTAGCGTTCGTACGGGTCTCGGGGCCGCGTTTGGTAGAGACGGGTGATGCCGTTCGACCTGTCACCACCTGTCACTGTTCTGATCGTCGCGGTCGTCAAACTCGTCTCCGTTTTCATCGGCGTCCGCCCAACCCAACGAACCCAACTGCGGATTCCGGTCCCGTCGGCGTTTGTCTTGACGCGCCGCACCGCCTTGTGCGCCCGACGGCCGGCCAATGTAAACAGAGCGGGAAGCAGACGGCTGTCGACAATCGGCGTGTTGTTGAAAGTTTATCTGAGCATAACCTGTCCAGTTCGCTGAAGTGTTCCCCAATTCTATAACGTTGTGCTGCTGTGTCACTCATAGTAACATTCCCCAGTGGTTTCATCTGTCCCTGTGCTCGAGGAAATATTAGTAATATCTGGTCTGTTCGGACAACTGTCTATGATACTGTACACTTGCATTGTCAAAAGTTAAGAACTGGTCGCCAGCAGCGGAGTAGGTATGTATCTCAAGTATTCACCTTGTGCTTGTGGTGATGTTCTTTACCTGCCCTCACCCATATATGCTGGGATCAGTTTCGTTGTTGTTGCAGCAAGAGATGTTCTTCCTTTCTTTTGAATGAAATTCCTTTCATTCTGAATTCTTTCTAGGTGTTCTCATTTTTTTTAAGATTCAGTCAGCATACCTGCTCAAATAGTAACAAACATTTACACTTTTGTTTCAGTGATGGAACTTCATTGTGACATTTGTTGTAACCAACTCGACCTGGACGACCACCGTCCTAAAAGTTTGCCCTGTGGGCACACGGTTTGTCAAGAATGTGTGCAGAATCCTGCCTTGGGAAGGAAGTGCCCAACTTGCAGAAAGGTCAGTAAATATAATGAAAAGCTGCAGCCGTGCAGTCGTGTTATTGCGTT